AAATATACAGGAGATACTGCCGTGTTAAGAAATGGACTCTAGGATTGACTGGTAATGGAGGCTGTATAGCCATAATTAGAGCCTCTGGAGAGATTAGCCGAGTGCGAAGTCCACTTAATATATCCAGTTCAGGGATTATTGCTGAGCAATTCATTGAGAAAATACGCACTGTAAGAGGTACAAATTTGTCTCATCTGTAGACAAAGCGTGTGAGTGATTTTGTATAGATCTACTCCTGAATGAAAGGCCAAAACTGTTGCACATAACTATTGGGAATTATTGGCGTCTCCTACATTGTACTTCAAAATTTGAGTGGATTTTGGTTTGAACAATGACGATAATTGTTAATGCAAATTTTACTGATTAAAAGGCAAAAAGGAGGAAGGAGGTCAGAACTAAAACATTTACCTATATGAGAGAAGTATGAGTAGCTAGAAGCATTACACAACCCTCTCCTCCCGTTAATTGCTTAATTTAATGAGGTGGTATTAACTGCTTTTGACCTACAGTTTGTGTATTAATTGATTAAGTAATTTCAAATTAGAAGGCTCAAACTGGTTCAGACACAATAACTGTAATCTGGACGTGTTTGAAAATATTTGTATGGACCTAATTTGCAAGAGTATTGCTGAATTTGGTCCGGATATCACATAAACTTTTCAGAGTTGGCATTTACTGTTCTTTTGCATGTGTGAGTTGCAATATGTAAAGAATGCATGAAGGAGAGAACTACATGTTCAAGTGTGTAAATTGCACAGCGAAGCAGCTTTTGTGTAGAATTTTTTTTCCAGCTGGTAGTTAACCTCACCAGTAGACAACCTGGTTTTTACCAATTTGGATTACTGTCTTATGAATGGTTTCTGCAAAATTATTCGTTGGAGTAATTGTTAATAGTAAAATAGGAAATTCCACTACAAAAGTTGCACCAGAAAACCTTCCCTACTGATGTTAGATGGGAGCATTACACACTCCCCTACTCAGCCATTGATGCCATCTGGTGCGTAGCTCAGATGGATACTTTTGAGTAAACTCACATATGATCTCATCCATCAAAATTTAAGAGACACTCATCTCTTAAAAAGCTTGGTTACTAATTGGAGGAAATCCAACTACATGACTTGGTGCAGCAATCATTCCACATGGGAATGGGAGCTTTAGACATAGTAGGAAGTATTCACCAGGAGTTATCTTTTTGCACTATTAATATCACTCTTTTAATAAGCCTACCTTAACATAAAGGGAGAAATCTGAGCATTTTCTGTTTGTTTCCCTACACCTCTATTCAAGAAAACCCAGCGTGAATGGTGAAAGATAGATCTAGGAAACTTTACTGATATTGTCACCAATTTTGGTGTCATATCTCTACTTTTGGGTTAATGAAAAGCTTTAACTGTTCAAGTTTCATTAGAGGTACAAGATAGGCAGAGCGACCTGTTTGCTAGAGTACAATTTGTTGCATTACATCCTCTGCCTTTTTCACTTTAAACATATTATATATATGTGTGTGTGGGTTTGATTTAAATTTTCGATGTTAGATATGCAGTCAACTTATGTTTTTGTGTTTCTTTCCAACTTTGGTATCTTGTCATATATCTATTTATTTATCACATGTACTGTAAGATTCTTTTCAGAGTCAAAAGTGTATAAAGCCGTCATCCTTCGCATTGATAGTCCTGGAGGGGATGCTCTTGCTTCTGACTTGTAAGTTGTATTGTTCTGTTTTCGTGTTCCTTTGCCTTTTGTTGGAATATGTGATCGGTGTTATCAAATGGAGGCCACTACATAATGTAATGTACTACATAAAAAAATTAGTCATTTATTTGATTGCTGGTTTTTGGTTTTAACAGAATGTGGAGAGAAATCAAACTTTTGGGTGAGTCATTACCTGTTGTCGCATCAATGGCTGATGTTGCTGCCAGTGGAGGATATTACATGGCAATGGCTGCAGATACCATAGTTTCGGAAAATCTCACGATAACTGGTTCAATTGGAGTTGTGACTGGTGAGGCTTAATTAAAAGTTTTCTATCAATCTCTTGCAAGAAGAAGCCTTTTTTGGAAACAATTCAATTTTACTTCTTGTATGAGATTCATATACTTTACTGCATCTTGTCTTGTGTGATTTAGCGTGAAGTGATTGACAATATTCTCTTTGGCAGAACCTAAGAAACAATTTTTTCTCTAAAAAAAATTACTAATTGTTGTGGGCTAAGAAATCAACGGCATATAATATGGGTTGTCAACTCTTGGGGCAGAATCTGAATGCGAAAGTTAAAATTCTGGATTAAATTATTGAATTTCTGTTGATTTATGCTGCAATAACTAGGTAATTGTCCTTTTTCTTACAAAACTATGGCATATAGTGGAAGCATACAAGTTCTGAGTAATGCACAACTATTCATTAATCACACTCATTATGGGGTAACAATTTATAAATATATTCTTGTTTGGTTGCTTAAGTTTGCAGAATTTATACGGGGGCTTACAAAATGAAGTGAAAAATGTTGATTAAGCTTACAACATAATCTTTTGTTTGTTACTTTCATGCTCATGCCCAAATATACTTCGGTTTGGGTGTCTACAAAATTAATGTTAAGAAAAACCACGAAAGCCCTTCAGCTGGCGGTTCAGTTGAACTTGTCAATATTTTCTCTGGGTTACACTGTACTGATGTTTGTGGCTTTGCTTTCAGGAAAGTTTAATTTGCAGAGGCTTTATGAAAAAATTGGCTTCAATAAGGAGATCATATCTAGGGGAAAATATGCGGAGCTTACTGCTGATCAGCGACCTTTTAGGTATATCAAATTCTGCATTGAAATGGACACCCATCATCCTGTTATTAATTAGTAAATGTATTCAGATGCCCTTCTGTAGTTACTGTCAGAGGTCACTAAGCTATGGCCGAAGTAGTAAGTTGGTTGTTTTGTGATAAAATCATGTTGAGGTCTTAACATTCGTAAAGTTAGAGAGGTTTTTTAAGATAAAAATGGCTGAAAACTCCATAGACAAGTAGCCAAGTCTCTAGGAATCATATCAGACAACTAGAAGATAAGGTTAGATTAGAATGACCCAATGGCTTCATATGATTAAACACAGCCCTATATTGCCAGCTTTGATTGCATGTCAGTTGATAGACATCAAGAATTCATTAGGACACCAGAAAACCCCCCTAATGTTGCAGAGTAGAGATGTTTAATAATATGATAGATGTAAGTATGTAACTCACTAAACTAAATACAGTCCCAATTACGCCTCGTTAAAATATCATGTAAAATCCTCAATAATGACCAACAATGACGACCTTTCCCCTATACATATCAGCTACATTTCTTTCACATTGGCCATTCTGGTTCTTGTTCCCTCCCTCCAAACACTCTTCTCCTTCTCTTTTTTTTTTTTTTTTTTTTTTTTGGTAAACCTATCGAAAGTGCACAGCACAAGGGGTATTTGGAACTGCATTGTATTAATCATGGGAGAAATGCAAGACCTAAAATGCCATGTTTGTTACTATCACGTGTGAAATTTCTCACCCCTTAAATTTAACACATGTTGTGAGATTGGTGAGATAAGTTTTATTACTTTAGGGCTGATGAAGCGGAACTGTTTTCAAAGTCTGCCGAGTATGCGTATAGAAGTTTCAGGGACAAAGCAGCCTCTTGTAGATCAATGAGTGTAAGTTTGGCATTCGGCATCCTATAAATCTCATATGATAACAAATATAATATTGAGTTAGTTTGATTTGATGGTGTTTAATTGTGAGTCAGTTAGAGGATATGGAGGAGGTGGCACAAGGAAGGGTTTGGACTGGCAATGACGCGGCTTCGCGAGGTTTAGTAGATGCTATTGGTGGACTATCTCGAGCTGTTGCAATAGCAAAACAGAAGGCTAATTTACCATTGGATGAACAGGTAGCTTACTTCAAATGTTATTCTATTGGTTTTCGACATGTGTGCCAAATATAAGGCTATGTTTGGTAGACCAATAAGCTAGCTTAAAGCTTATTTGGTTAGCTTATAAGCTTCCTGTATTTAAATAAGCTTCGTTTGGTAGGACGAGTTTTTTTAAAAGTTCGAGCTTATCTCACAAGCTTCTTTGGGTAGCTTTCCAAGTAAGCTCGTTGAAATTTTTATTTCAGTTAACTTAAGCTGAAAATTACTAATAAGCTATCAGCTAGCTTATCAGCTACTTTTACTAAACATAGCCATAATCAAAATTATGAGTATGAAATTTCTATTGTGTTTAAAAACCATCTGTTCGTCAGGTCACCCTCATTGAGGTGTCGAGACCTTCATCTCTACCTGAAATCTTGAGCGACTTCGGTAGCTCCATTGCTGAGGTGGCCAAAGCAGTCAAAGTGTTTGCACAGATGATGTCATCATCTAATGGGATTGTTCAAGCCCGAATGGACAGTAACATGCTTGAACAACTGGATGATGGAAATGGAATTATCCTTAATCTCATAAAAGATTTCCTCAGTTCTCTCTAGTATTTTTAAACTTACTCACGTTAGT